CAATTTGTTGATAAGTTTTGTAGACATAAACAAACGAGTTTAAGATCTTCCAAGTTGTTGTTGGCAAGTGGAAAGCAACAGTTGGTAGAATTATAGGTAGGTGAAATGTTTCATATTATCTTACGTATCTTGAATGTGCTACTATTGTTATATTCTCGTTACGTATTTCACGCCACCAAGTGTAGCGTAAAATAAATAATAATAAATAATAAAAGTAGTATTCATACATCTAGTAAGATGTATGAATACTATTTTTATTATTTTTTAAGTAGCTATGTTTAGAGAATTTCCCTTTTAGGGAAGTAGCTATTACCATTGACTTTATATCTATACTGTGTAGATATAAAGTCAGTGTTGGTTGTGTTGCTAGCAAAGTGGTTAGCGTCTCGGACTTCGGTGCGGGACGGACGGGTTCAATCCCCGACACATCCACTAAACATTTAATCTCTCGTAACTTCTCTCGTGAAATGCCACTGGCGTAGAAAAAAAATGATAAATAATAAAAGTAGTATTCATACATCTAGTAAGATGTATGAATACTATTTTTATTATTTTTTAAGTAGCTATGTTTAGAGAATTTCCCTTTAGGGAAGTAGCTATTACCATTGACTTTATATCTATACTGTGTAGATATAAAGTCAGTGTTGGTTGTGTTGCTAGCAAAGTGGTTAGCGTCTCGGACTTCGGTGCGGGACGGACGGGTTCAATCCCCGACACATCCACTAAACATTTAATCTCTCGTAACTTCTCTCGTGAAATGCCACTGGCGTAGAAAAAAAATGATATTACCGTAGGTGGCACTGTAAGACCTAGGCCCAGGACTGATTTACTTTTTCATTTTTAACAATTTAGTATATCAAATTGTTTTTGTACTGTTATTGGTAACGGAGAAAATAGAAACAATTGTAGATATAAATTCCCATGTTATTCTATTGGACAATATTGTAAAATGTTGTATTTCGCTCGTTTATGGATATATTTTTATCAAACTTGGTAAATTTATTTATTAAAAACTAAGCTATTAATATTTTACCAAAAACACATTTTATTATTTTCCATGTAGCAGCAAACCTAGGTACTCGTTAAACCTTATGTTTTAATTAGATTTAATTCACTAAGTCGGCAGGTTTGCTGCGGTGAGGGTATTTAAGTTAGAAACGTTTAAAAAGTAGGAGACTTTACAACAGCACACTCTGACTTATTTAAAAACTGACTTATTTATAATTTATTTTTGAGATGTAATGTTTTGTTTCAATTAATAAAATTGTATTTAGATTACAGCTATAGCACACCTTCACGTTTTATCAGACAATAAAAAAACAGTTTTTCTTTTCATTTGTCACTTACAACTTTTCGATTTGAATTTATATAGCATAATGTGCTAACATAATTCTTTCATAAAATACTCAAACTGTTGTTAAATCATGACTGCTTGGAAGCGGAAGAACACCATTAGAGAAACATCAGCTGGCTGAAAGATGAACGCCTGGGGCTTGGCGTTGGCTGTAAAAATATTACTAAATAAAAATTTTGATGAACGAGAACATTATTTGGGAATGAAGCTATAAAGTAATTATGTGAAAATATATTACGAATAAATATACGCACAGGGTTTTGAGAAGTTGAGTTTGTAGTTAGTATCTCATACTTAAGTGTGAGGGTGCCAGGTTCAATCCCCGGAGATCGGGGACAAACTTGAACTACTTTCTTTTGACAAGTTTGAAGAGAGGTTTTTTTCAATAAAAATGCCTCTGAGAGGGTACCAAACATATTATTATTCTTCTTTCGGTCTTTAAACATGTAAAGACTCAAACCACATTGATTGGTTGATTTTAACCAGGTTTAATTGAAACATAATATAAGTTTTAACAGCTTCTCGCTTGCAGTAAACTACGATGGCTGAGGAGCATAGCTGCTGAAAACTATAAACCCATCAGAAACTTAGGTTCTAAGAATCCTATTTTAAGCAAAGTTTCATAAGAATTTTGTTTTAAATTTTACTTAATACAATACATTGTGTATAAATTTAATAATTTTGGATCTGGACGAATATTTTCAAACCTAAATACATGCAATGCTGCTTACAAGTTGAGTTAGGTAGAGGCAAGGTATTTATCGTCTGTAGTGACTTTATAGATCACAGTATAATTCTACGCCCATTGAGAATTTCTCCAAGTTGAACTTTAGGAGCTGGCGGTGAATATCTTCGACAACTTTCGGAATTTTCATAGAGTTGTCCAGATAGGCATTCATCAGAATAGTTTAAATATTGTATTTACATGGAATAGAAATGCCATTACACAATACCCTATTTTTTTAGAACGTCGTTTTACTCTTAGTCGAGTCTCGGGTTAAGCCTGCAGATGACCCAATTGACTCGTCGTTCGTAACTACTGTCTCTTATTTTATGTATTTAGCATGTTTGAAATATTAACAGCAAGTGTAAATACAAAGAAAAGTGTGGTAAGACGAACTTTATAATATTCATAGCATATCCACCCAATAAGTAAAACGCTGTATTAGAAAATATACCCTCCTGAGACATAAATATAGATGATCTAATTTAAAATAACATTATTACATTTATATTTCGATTTGTGGGAATTTATGTGTATCACGTCTCAAGGATATTCATGAATAAACAAATAAATTGCTTGTTCCTTGAGTAGCTCTATAATTTGTTAAGTATAAAAATGCAAATATTTTAATCCACGTGGATATTTAATGTTGACGCAACAGTACCTTACTCGACTGCGAATGTTTCTATTTGAACAGTATTTGCATTTTTACTTTCTCCCCCTATACCATAGTATATGGAGAAAGTATTGTTTTCGTCAAAATTTTCGAGTTTGAGTTTTGAGTGGATATATTCGTTTTGGGTCCCCCTGGACCCAAAAAAGTGGTTTTCGAAGTGATGTCTGTGTGTGTGTGTGCGTGTGTGTGAAACATGTGTGTGTGTGCGTGTGTGTGTCTGTGTGTCTGGATGTGTACAGAGCTAGAGACCACACCTGTGGTCCGATTTCGATGAAATTTGGTATGTAGGTTCTAATCCATGGTATCTCCAGGCGTTTTTTTCATTTTTTTGAAATTTTCATTTTTAATGGGGATTTTCCCATAAAAACCCATAAAAACAGGAAAAATCGGATTTTCTCAAAAATGGCCCGAACGATTTTGATAAAAATCTAGTATGTTATAGCCCTTTAAATTCTGAATAAAATGGTACAAATCCCATATCTGTAAAAATTACGGTTCAAAAGTTATGGTAAATTATGTTATTTTCCAATAAAACCCCATAAAAACAAAAAATAGGATTTTAGACAAAAATCCGGCTTTGATTTAACATAGTACTTATGTTATGGTCCTTACAATTTCGATAGTTTTTCATTTTTTAGAAATTTTTATTTTTATGGGGATTTTCCCATAAAAACCCATAAAATAACGGAAAAATATGATTTTCCCAAAAATGGCCAGAACAATTTTGATAAACATTTAGTATGTTATAGTCCTTTATATTCTGAACAAAATGGTACAAATCCCATTTCTGTAAAAAGTACGGTTCAAAGGTTATTGTAAATTCTGTCATTTTCCCTTAAAACCCCCATAAAATAACAGAAAAATCGGATTTTCCCAAAAATGGCCCGAGTGATTTTGATAAAAATTTAGCATGTTATAGTCCTTTAAATTCTGAACAAAATTGTACAAATCCCATTTCCGTATATTTACTCTCACCACTTACACATGATAAAGGTTGTTGACAAACTTATGGGAGAAAGTATGTGTCAGAATGCTGATACCGTTTATTATATCTCAACTTCGCAAGTATTGGATGGTTGGGTCACAATTTCACACGAGAATAACATAAAGAAGTATTGCCGACTTGATATCGGTTTAAAGTGCCTCGGGCCTTAAATTATTACATTTAGTTTACGCGGAATATGTCATCAAGTGGTTTAGATCAGGTCACTAAATCTATAAGTATAAAAGAGGATGTTTGTATATATATATATTTGGCAGTGATAAACTCAGACACCGCTGAACCGATTGCCACGAAACTTGGTACATACGTGTAGAATTTCGTGGAATAGGTTTCCCATGTTAACCTTATGAGAAATTGAATTAATGAATCTTAACAGCTGTTTCAATTAAACAAGTTGGTTCTCTTCTATGATGTTCAATAGCATTAAAGTTACAAGGATTACCAACAGGGTGCAGCACTATTATTTTTTTTAAATTTATGACAACAGCTAATTTGCAACCAAAAGGTGAGTGAGCATAGCGAACGAACTTCAACCTGGAGGCGAGTTAGCGTAGTGAACGAGCTAACCTGAAGGCAAGTGAGCGTAGCGAACGAGCTAACCTGAAGGCAAGTGAGCGCAGCGAACGAGCTTCAACCTAAAGGTGAGTGAGCGTAGCGAACGAGCTCCAACCGAAAGGTGAGTGAGCGTAGCGAACGAACTTCAACCAGGACGCAATGCGAACGTGATCATCTTGAAAATTAAGAAGTTAAACGGGGCAAAGCCCGCGGGTTACAGCTAGTAATATGTATATGTACAAAGACAATTTTAAACTATCTGGAAGAACATTTGATTCCAATGTTGCTTATTCAAAGATTTGTAATTTTCAAATAAAACTACCGAAGCGCTCACTGGAATAAATCATATGCTATTTCTTTAGGTAAACTTGCCAATCGTTTGTCAACAAACTTATGATCATAGTGTTAGTACGGGGGAGCGAGCTGGTCTAGTGGTTAGAATGCTTTGGTCCCTGAGGTCCCAGGTTCAAATCCCATCCAAGTGATAATGTCGCAACGCATAAGTCTAGCCTGAAGCAATGTGAACGATTTCCGGGGTCGTTCCTAGCTTCAAGGACGAAGAATAATACAAGCAGATTCCTAAATTTCTTTCTTAAATAATTTCTCAAGAAAATTCCTCACAGCGAAAAAAATCAATTTTGCGTCTTTGCATTTTAGTTTAAAGTTAACTGAAAACACATTTTTACAGAAAAGTTATCATGACGGTGAGCTGACGAAGCCGCCATGGATGGCGAGAACAGAATCATCCTGAATGTTGGCGGGATCAGATACGAAACATACAAGGCGACGCTGAAGAAGATCCCGGCGACGCGGCTGTCCAGGCTCACGGAGGCACTCGCCAACTACGACCCCATCCTCAACGAGTACTTCTTCGACCGCCACCCTGGAGTCTTCGCCCAGGTCCTCAACTACTACAGGTTAGTGTGTTTCATATTGTATGTTAGATGTCTTGCCAACTACGACCCCATCCTCAACGAGTACTTCTTCGACCGCCACCCTGGAGTCTTAGCCCAGGTCCTCAACTACTACAGGTTAGTGTGTTACATATTGTATGTTAGATGTCTCGCCAACTACGACCCCATCCTCAACGAGTACTTCTTCGACCGCCACCCTGGAGTCTTAGCCCAGGTCCTCAACTACTACAGGTTAGTGTGTTACATATTGTATGTTAGATGTCTTGCCAACTACGACCCCATCCTCAGCGAGTACTTCTTCGACCGCCACCCTGGAATCTAAATGCAGGATTATTAGCTAACATACTATCAGGTATAACCCAGCTAATCCCACAAGAAGTACTCGCTTGAGAGTAACTTTGTAGTCTACTCCTACTATGTTACTAAATAGTAGTTCACGTACATTACTTTACCTACGGCAGTGTTTTAAAAACCACTACTAATAACTTCGTAGGTAAACACTGTCGTAGGTAAAGTAGTGTAGCGTACTCGCCAAGGCTCGTACCTTGAATTTTCTACTCGTGTCGTTTACACCATTACGTAATCGTTTCGTAAACTACAATAAATTGTTGAATAGGTACAAAATGTTGTAACGCTTCTTCAGACTCCAAAGGTTTATTTCTCAAGCAGCCCCACGTGTGGACTTAATGTGCCGTTTGACGTAAAGTAATCTGTTTTTTTATTGTTCATACGTCCGATTTTGACAATATGATTAACGCTTATCTTAAGACTCAACTAAAGTCTTGTGTATAACACTTTGCAAGCAGGTTCTCAATAGTAAAATCAAAGGGCCTGCTCGAATGTTTACAAGTTTTCCCCTAAGTACAAAAATAGATAAATAAAGACAAAGACTGTGTTATAGCAAAACTATGGGTTCATTGCTCCTCAATAGTCGTAGTATTCGGGACAGAGAGATATTCCCAACTTGAAATGAGGCAGCGCTAGGTATAAATGAACAAATTGACAATTCAAGCGTAACGCTGAGGTCATTTGGGCTTGGGCGCTTCCGTCCTTATCTCTGTTGGTTCAGTTTCGTTTGCGTTGTTTGCTTGTTGTTTTGACAATTTCACCTATACTTGTGTTTTGAATCAAATTTATATTTATAAATTTAATTCCAGAAAAAAAACTGAGCCCTATCAATATAAATAAATCAATAAAATCACAAGTAATGTGATGGTTGTAATGTATTTAGACCTGATGAAACGATAAACAATATTATTTATACCTTGAGTTTTTTATGCAAGCAAGAATTTTTATTTCAGAGGTTCAGTATTAATTACGGTTTTACTGGGAATAAATGTATAACACGCTTTTTCAATGGATGAAATTTTTTTTATCCACCCCATATTATAGTTATCCGGCTAGTTTTACTAAATGCAATTCATAGCAACAAAACGTATACAATTATAACACTACAAAATATCGCTTTTATGACCTATGTATAAGAGCTACCACAGAGAGACGGTGGTTTTCGAAGTGAACTAGGCTAGACTTGATTAATTTTGTATATTGTGACGCATAGCGGCACGCTATATTTTTTATAGTGTGTGCAGTTCGCGAAGCCGGGCTGCATGTTCATCTCGTTGCCTGCCGCGACTGCATCAATGCTCTATCCCCACTGAGCTATAATTCTAACTGGAGGTAGCACTGAATGTCAAAGATGCGTGTCGCCAGCCGCCATGTTTGCGTGAGGTGTGAGTTATAAGAAGCCATATTATTGCTATGGCTATTATTATACTTGGCTTAAAATACCTACTTTGTATGGTCGCCATTTCAAAGAAAATTATTAAAGTATTAAAAGTATTCAAGTATGACAAAAATACTCACTGCTATACCAACCTAGTTATAAGAAGCCATGTTATTGCTATGGTAAGAAAACTTACTGCTATACCAACCTAACAAAATCAGCGACTCGCTTTTGACAGACTTCTGCCATGGCAGTGCTACCTCCAGTTATAATTTTAGCTCAGTGTCTATCCCCACCTTTCCTAGTCTTGTCCTCCTTCTTCGACAACCGGCTTCTACACAGGAAACCTCTCCGTAAAATCCAGGACTTCTCTTCGATGTTTGGGATAAGTTATCATAGTTAGTAATATGTAGAAATAAAGTAGGGAAAATGTCTGGCTAAGTCAGGTAACTAGCGGGGAGCCCTTCTGGCTCACCCGACTATGGAAATGTAGGAATTGACAACTTAGCCGGTTGGTGGCACTCTGCCACCAACCGTTCGAAACATGAATACTAATCCACATGTTCCCAGAATGTAACTTAATAGTTTAAATCAATTCATACTTATTTCTCATTCAGTATTCAATTACATATCACTCATTTGCTCATCAATAATTAGTAAGTAATTACCCAAGTTCAGTTCATAGTGGAAGGATAGGTTTATATTTAAATAGTTAGTTCCATTAGTTCAAATCAAAGCTGGCTAGGCAAGTGTTCTGATCTGGGTAAAAGGTCTCCGTCCCTCTGGTCCCCAGCAATCTTCCTAATTGTATTGGTAGCAGATTCAGCACGCTGAAATTAAGTTTGGTCCAGACACACCTTTTCCTAACCTATTAGCATTACCCTGTTTATTCCCTCCTGATTACCCGAATTTCCCTCCTCCATCCCATACCTTAGCCCCGCACCCCCTCAACAAACGGCCATCGGCTACATATGGTAGCAGGCTTTGGCCTAGATCAGGGTACTTAACCTAGGCAATTTCAGTTTCATTTTTAGGTAAAAAAAGTTAAGTGTACATTCTGGGGATATTTTTTTCTCTCCTGGCAAAAAGTAAAGTGCATTTTTCCCTGACTTAACCGACACGGATAGGTAGGCTAGTAGTTAAGCTGTTTTTGGTTAGTAAATTGGTAGGGAAGTGTAAATTGGTTAGGCTAGGTTGACCAACCAGGATTAGTGTGACATTGGTAGGGCTGTGTGTGTTTTGTCTGTTTTTATGTTACAGGAGATCTTACCACCTTTCGAGCCTAGGCAGTGGACAGTGGATTTAGTGAACAAGTGTTGTGAATTTCGATTTTAAAGTTAAGCCTAGCAAGAGGCATTAGCTGGTCTGTAATATTAGGTGGGTGTAAGGTACAAGGTAGGGTATTAAAACGACCTACAGCCCAATTTTGTTAAATTAAAGTGGTACTTTGCCCAACACAAGGTGTTTTTGTTGGCTTAATGACCAGATTATTTTAAATTAAAATCAGCACCTTGTGAACCAGTGTAGAGTCAGTGTTATATGTGCTCTATGTCCTATTAAATAAATCATTTTTCATGCAATAGCCTATTTGTCACCAATTTGTTCTAGTGTAATTTGCTGTTGTTATTTGTCACCTGTGCCTTATTTATTCTTGTCAAATGTATTGTGTTATATGAATTGTCTTTACTACTTATTTTGTCACACTATTGGTCATCCCTAGTAAGCCTTAGTTAGTCATTTTTGTCCAAATTTTCAGTAGAGCAAATCTGTTGGGAAAAATTACTAGGCTAGGCCTACTTTACCTTTTACAGTAGACAGTTTTTTGGTTATTAAAATTTGTTAATGATTAGTAGGCTAGTTTTTTAAGTTCTGCAATAGTAGTTTAGGTTACCAGGAATCTTATGGTTACCATTTCATTTATTTAATTTGTTTTTATTATTGCCAAAACTCGGTTTTTGTCTGGGCTGACGCTCGAATTAGGCCAGAATCCACGCCATTTACAGTAAGCGCTGTCAAGTAGAGCCAACAGCAATATCTGGTTTTCTGCTAGCTATACAATAATTTTAGTTAGTGTGTATACTCATAACAATTTGGTTACCCATTTTAGCTGGAAATTCGAGACATAGCCTACGACAAATATCTTTCACTTCGAAGCCAAGAAATTAGATTTTTAAATGCATTTTGCAATTTCATTGAATATTTTTGTTTTGTGTCTGATACAACATTTTGAGTAGAGTTTGAATTTAGAGTAGGCCTGCATTTAGGAAGGCTTGTACCAGTTTATTTACACTTGTATTTTGTTAAGTGGGTTTTTTTTAAGCGATCACCTTTGTAAATTCGACGAATCTGCATTTCTATTCGTAGTCGGTTGAGCAGTTTTGGGTTTCACCGAGTTGCAATTAGGTTAGGTGAATTTAAGAGTTGGTCATGAACCAAGAAAAATCTTCGTTAAATATTCAGGTAATCGGTGACTCTTATGCCACTCGATTTTACAATTTTTGTCAAACCAATCGTCACTCAACTGGAAGATTACAGCCAATCTTAGTCAAGGGCATTTCTGGAGCAAAAATATCCGAGCTCAAGAGTTTTGTTAAGTTAAATAGTACTGCGATACAGCCACACATGCCACTGTTGTTTTTCTTAGGTAATAATGATTTTTTGGCAAATGTTGGAATTACAGTTTTTAAGAACTCCTTTTTGTCTTTTCTGAGATTATTACGTCGGAATTATCCTGGGATGGTAGTTGTGTTTACGACGTTACCGCATTATCCAAGGATAAGGAATTCTTTTTCAGCAATCAACCGTCTGCATCAAATAAACAAATTTTTGCTGACTTTACGTTCAGAGTTTACTAAGGTAATAGACATCCCCGACGAATTGAATCACATGCAATATTTTCATGCCTATTATGGAAGGTCAATGCGTCGTGATGACATTCATTTAAATAGCGACGCATTTGCGACATTGATTCCATCAATAGAAAACACTCTGTCACCAGTTCTGACGCAGAAATGATTTACCCCTCGCCTCAAACATTCCAAATCAACCTCTTTTACCCAGATCGGAGCACTCTGCTAAGGTGATATTAGGTTAAGTCTTCTCAATCTGTCGCTGTCCCCGCCAACGCCCGGGGGAAAGTGAGTCTCGGGGTATCCTTCCTTAGGATGGGCTGCCCTACACGTCTTCCTCCGTGCGTTGTCGGCCAAATCTTTCACCCCTCCCTCTTCGTCTCTCGCACCCTCACTGAGTTCAGTAAAGAATTTTTTTTGATTGAATC